CTAATTTACTTAAAATGTATACACCCCGGCTTATCATGTAGCGGTAGCTTTCGGAAAGGTGGAAAACATATATTTAATACTTGCGCCGGGTATTTAATGTTCGGCTCCGCCCGAACTTAGACTTTCTTACTTGTTATCCATCAACTATTCGCGGGAGACGTAATTCAATATTTGAGGCTTCAGTGGTATTTGTTGCTGATTCTAAAAGCTGTAGAGAGTGATTGTGCAGATATTTCCTGTGTTTTTTCATTAATTTTAGGATTCGTTTTATATGCTCAGCACACTTATTTACATCCAGGTTTTCCGACTGGAGTACGTTGGCCACTGCCTCAAGAAACTTGCTATATTTCTCAATTAGGCATAATGACAATATGAATGTGGTCTGTTCAGCTGCAGAAAGCAATTGAAAAGCAGCTTCTGTTTATATTAGTTTTTTATTTCTCATATCGCACTATGGCTGAAACAAGCACATCATGCGGCCAAATGTCCAATTTTCAGTTTCATATGTTTATAACTTCTTTTCTAATTAGAGTATCTAGAATAAAGTATACATATATAAATCTGATAAAAGGGCATTATATCTACTTTCATCTGGTGTATGGTGTATTATTTTCAGACGTCATCAGAAGTCAAAAACGAACAAATACTCAACATGTGGATGGACCGGAAATACACTTTTTTATGGGAAATACATACTTTTACCACAGATTCGGATTTTGATGACAGAAATACGAACTTTTGTCAAATGCGTTTCTCTAGAATGGACTTCTGGTTAATGGATTTCCGGTCTGTGTAACCCACTTCCGATCGAAACCGGAAGTCGGTAATACGATCAAAAGGTAGAGCATGCTCGACTTTTTTAGTTCATATTTTTCCGTTTTCCAATAAAAAAACCCATTTTCCTCCATATCAGAAGGACTGCACGGGTGGTCTGGGACACCCGGTGTGCAGCCATTGAAACTTTGCACGAACAATGAAATTTCAATGGCCAGGTTTCGAAATACACTCGGAAGTTTGCCATTGCCTGCCGAGGAGGGACTGCTGCCAGAAGAGAACTTTTCAATTATTCAGATGTTTCTCGGACCAGGGATCGAACTTATGTACTTACATATCGTACCCACCTATCGGATGTGTTTTTTTTTTTTTTAATCTTATTAAAGTTTTGTATCAAGCCTGTGTATGTATGTATATAAATTAACAATAAAAACCCATAGGAAGCTAGAAAAAAAAGCTTGAATATTGACTGAAATAACCTCTCATTACCTCTTGTCCGACAGTGCGTATACGTAACACAAATTTTCAGCAGCATCAGCAGCAGCAGCAGCAATGTGAGACATATTCGATTCGTCCACAAAACAAAACAGCAGCCAAGCGATTCGTTTGCGCTCATTTGCGGTGCGGTAGCACAAAACGGACACATTCGGTCATGCATACACATACAAATGCACACGCATAACTGTTTGTATATTTATAGCTATGTGCATGTTTGTTCGAATTTCATTTGTTTGCGCTACAAGTTCCATTTGATTGTCTGCGGCCGGCGGCTTCCAGCCTTCTTGTGAAGCATTTGCTTTTTCCGCTACACATACACCATAACCAGTGTTGCCACAAATTTTTTTATTTTTTACCAAAATCAACCGAAAAAGTTACCAAATTCAACAAAAAATTACCAAACTTATTTTATGTGCAGAACTGTACAAACATATATATCGAGCCGTAACGGTCAAAATAACGTAAACGACATTTTTTCAAAATTTTCTTTTTGATGCACAAATATTGCTAAAACATTTAGATGCGTTTTCGCATCGAAAAGAAAGTTTTGAAAAAAAATTCGATTGCGTTATTTTGGCAGTTAGGGTTCGTTATGACTGTGCATATGTATATCCGAAGATACCAAGCTTTTCAGGCAATCAGCCCTGAATTTTTTAAGATATTGAACAAAGTTTGAAATTTGAATTTTTTGAGTTCTGTTAAAGAAAGAACTATATTTTAATAAAAAATAACCAAAATCAAATTACAAAAAAATAATATTTTAAAACTTGTCAAAATATGTCGGGGCTATAATTTTCTCGAATTTTTAACCAGTGACAAGAAAATATATAAAAAATTCAATGCTTTGAAGGAAAGCTTTCGACTCGCGCATAGACAGAGTGAAGTCCCGCGCTGAATGCCTTAGCTTTTTGAAAGAGATTTTATATATTTACGTAGAATTCTACTCATATACATGGTTGCCGAGTACACCGGAAAATTTATGGTAATTGCAAGGCTGACGAACTGACAGGAAAAGGACCATCCAATACCTTACAGGAAAGGACACGGTGGATACACTTAACAATAGCCACTTTCAAGCACTTTGTTAAAGATCACACCATTCTAGTAGCCAAGGAACGCGGAAACAATTTTAGCCTTCCGAAACTTTCAGGATTACCTGGTATTTCTATAAAAGGAAACGGTTATCGACCTATTTGACATGTAAGAAATAACCAAATAAATAAAGAAAAAAATTACCAATTTTGGTTAAAAATTACCAAAGCGGCAACGCTGACCATAACTCTAGCTTGGCTTTGTAGTCTTCACATGCTGTTGCTTCACTACGCTGTGCATTGCATTCGACTCATGTTGTATGCTGTCTTTTCGTTGGCTTGATTGGATTTTTCAATGCAAATGCTGAATTCAATTTTTCCAGTTTATTTTTCGTTAAACTTTCTGTTGTCCACTTCTCTCGGCGCTATATATGTAGTACAACAGTGCAAAAACAACACCAAGCATAGTTCTTCCGGCTAGTCGAAAGGCTGTCCTGTCCAGCGCAAATTTTGTGAGACACACCTTGTCGTCTTGCCGTGCTGCTGTTAAATGACTGATTTCACTCTTCTCTTTACTATGGTTGTATGTATGTTTGCTATTTGTGGTGGTATCCTTTTTTGGTTGTTTCTATTATTGTTTTATTTTTAATGCATTCTATTTGTCTACTGGCTTTTGTGGTTATTTTTTAGTTTGTTTGTTTGGTCAAGCCACTCGTTGGTTGTTCGATAGTTTTTTCCTGTTTACTATTTTTTATAAGGCACACATGTATGCCCGCTGTACCATTATACACACACATGTACAAAACGTGTATGTATCCGTGAATGCTTTCGTCAGGACTGTGCTGGCAAATGCAGAAAATTTTTGATCAGAGCATGGCTACAAAAAAAGTTTTGTCTTACCACAAAATCGAATTTTCACTTTCGAACAATTGACGTCCGAAACACCTCACAGCGTCAGCGAGTCACCGAGCTTTTCCGTTTATTATTGCTTTCTGGTGTTTTCCTTTCTTTTTTTATTGCGTTTCATTTTGCTTGCTTTCAATTTATTTGTTCACGCCTTTGCTTGCTATGCTTTCAAGGTTTTCAGTGTCTCTTTTTTTTTTTTAATATTCATTCCATTCTGCCTTGTCAATTTAAACAAACAGCTGGTTTTCCATTTGTTTTTGATGTGGTCAGCTGAATTAAGAAACAGACTCGGAGTGAAGCGCTTTGAATTTTTAAGAAGAAATAAAAATGGGAATTAGAATATATAAGGAAAAAATGCCTTTGGAATAGTTTTATCTAGTCGACAATATGAAAACCATTTCTACATAAAATCTTAGAGGGAGGGTAGCAGAGAATATTTTCCAAGGCTTCTTCGCTTTCTATAATGTACCGTTGTGTCGCCTAATTCTATTCAAGCAACATGAGGACTATCAATAAATTTAAAGAATTTTAGGAACAAATAAAATCAGTTTTAAATATACAGTGCGAAGGCCACAAACATCTGCAGACCCTGCAGAGTTGAAAGTTCTTAACCACGCTTGACCAGTGTGGAGAAATTCGGTCGTTCATGCAACTCAGTGTCGCAAGAAGAAATTGCGCTTCTAAAGTATGTTCAGTCTACCCTTTAGCCCTTCCTGGACTCTAAGCTTATAGAAAAAAATTTAAACAACGAATTGAGGGCATCCTGCTTTTTTCGAAAGCTCTGTATAAGAATATATGAGTATTCCTTATGTAAATAAATAAATTTTATATACTCATATATTTTTCCCTAAAAAACATTTGTTCTTTTGTTAGGATTCTGAGAAATAGTTTTTCTAAAAAATGTTTTTTTTTGTAAAAATACATACCAAGAGTACCTTGAATTGCATTTCGATATTTATTTATTTATTTTATTTATTTATTGTTCAGAAACAGTCCGCAGGTTGCCATAGGTAGAATTGAAAAAAAATTTAATTTTTTGGTGCACCAGGATAAAAAGCATTTAAAATGTCCTTTTAAAACATTATCCTTGAATATCCTTGGAAATTTCTAATATTTATTTTTGAACAAAAAATATATGTCAAGGACTAATATGTAAACTACCACATCCTCGAATTTCGTCCTTCAAACTTTATTAGTTTTAATTATAAAAAATTTTACATTTCTCTTTATAAGATATTGATAGTTACAATATACATACATAAATGAAGATACTGGAATCAATACACTGTACAGCACTCGGTCGGTCGGAGATATGAGCCTTCGAAACTCGAAATAGGACCTTTGGTAAAAAATTGTTTTTTTATTATTATATGTAAATAACTACAAAACTAAAAATATAAACGTGGTACGCAATATTACAAACCGTATATTTCCCAAAATTTTGAACTAATTTTTAAAAACCGTCGTAAACGTGATTAAACCATTTTTCTTCTGATATGCAAATCTGTATAATTCGTGTATAAAAATTCGAGCAAAAACACTTTTTTTATAAAAACAAAAAATTCACAAAAAGTTACTAACCGATTTTTAAAAAAATTGGTATTGTTGTAAAGGCGATTAAACCTCACTCCTTCTGGTATGCGTATTTGTATACTAAGCATATACAAATTTGAGAGAAAACACTTAAAAGCAAAAAATAAATTTTTTTTATAAAAAAAAATATTTTAAACAAAAAAATTACAAACCGATTTTTAAAAAATCGGTATCGTTGTAAAGGATGCCAGAAAACTTATACTTTCTTAAGCCCACAAATCTCGTTTTATATACACAAACAAAAAAATTTAATTAAAAACATTTTATTCCCTCTATACAAACTCCTGCCCCTCCCCTAGGGGAAAGGCTGGCTACGCCCTTTTATACAAACCAATTAAGGTATTTAAACCGTACATCATACGGTCAGTTTGTTCTTTTAGGGC